AGTTGAGAGCGAATGTGGTAGCTCCATTAAGAAACTGCAGCGGGACATAAATAATTGCATCTCGTCCCTTCAATGTCATCAGATTGACATTTCTAATTGGGATGCAATTATAACGTGTTTATGCTCTACGAAACTGCCAGAATGCACACTGGCTCTTTGGGAACAAACCATAGAGAACAAAACAGAGATCTCAAAATGGGAATATATGGATAAATTCTTATCCAATCGTTTTCAGACATTAGAAACCGTTTCAGGGCTGAAAGGCAACAAAACAGCTAAGACGCCTAAGCCCCAAAACACACGGCAAATGCCGGAAGCACTTCCAAAGAGACTTGGCGCTTTTCAAGCTAGTGTCGCCAAAAAATTATGCACAATGTGTCAAAATAGCGACCATAAGTTACGACACTGCGAAAGATTCCGCAAGTTAACCCCTTCCGACAGAATTGAGTACGTCAAGAGCAATAAACGTTGCTTGAATTGCTTGTCAGCCAGACATACGGTGACAAGGTGTACCAGTCCCTTTAATTGTAGCGCGTGCCATTCAAGGCATCATACGTTGCTCCACCTACAACAAGCAGTTCAGCCAAAAGCAACAGATCGTAGGGGAACTCCGAACTCCTCAGGTGACGGCGCCTCAACTTCAAGGCAGGCTCAGTTAAGACGGGACTCTGGAAAAGAAAATACCGAAACAGTTAAAAATGTGAACTCTTGCTTTGCTAATACAAACAAAGGAGTGCTACTAGGAACTGCACGCGTAGATATACATTATAAGGGTGTTAATTTCTCCGCCAGAGCACTGATAGATTCGGGATCTGAATGCTCTTTTATAACTGAAAGACTTAAACGCAGAATTAACCTGCCATCAAAACGCTTGCATGCCCAAGTCTCGGGCATCAATAATTCAATATCTGCGCAGGTAAAGGAAGCGTGCGCCATTCAATTGCGGTCGCCCCCAGACCCATTAATAACCATAGATGCTGTTGTACTGGTTTTACCAAAATTAACAGGGGATCTGCCGACTTGCCAAGTAAGCGCAATGACCCGGCAAGCATTCCCAGACTTGGTCTTGGCGGACAAAAGGCTCTTCATTAATGAGCCAGTGGACCTCGTACTCGGAGGAGACATATATCCTCAGATCATTTTAAGCGGCATAAAAAAAGAACGTATTAAATACGCTCCTCGCCCAGGAAACCGTGTTCGGTTGGATTTTAACCGGTTGTGCGGAAGCAGCGAATCCAACCAACAATATCTTATCATTTTACAATGAAGTCAACCTGGACAAGCAGTTAACCGCTTTCTGGGAGCTGGAGGAAGTTCCTAAGAAAAAAAAGTCTGAATGACGACGACACCTATTGCGAAGAACTGTTCAAGGCCACAACCGAAAGGAACGCAGAAGGGAAATACATCGTGTCTTTACCCTTCAAAAAGGACTATCCGAACAACCTTTCCTTAGGACCATCGCTGAGAGGCGCCTGCTCTCAGTTCTACCGGAACGAGACGCGCCTAGCGAAAAAAACCTGTCCTGCAAACGGAATATAATCGGGTTTTGGGGGAATATGAGACGTTAGGGTATATGTCTAAAATATCTGATAATGTGCCAGCAGACTCAACTGACTGTTATTACTTACCTCATCACGCTGTTTTGAAGGAAGAAAGCATCAGTACAAAGGTCAGAGTCGTATTCAACGCCTCATGCCCTACCGCCAATGGCACGAGCTTAAATGATGTCCTCCATCCCGGTCCAGTTCTTCAGGCCGATTTAACCATCCTCATCCTCCGTTGGAGACTGTTTAAATATGTATTCAACAGCGATATCGAAAAGATGTATCGGCAAATTCTGGTAGATAATAAACAAACAAAATATCAACGAATAGTATTTCGTACCAGCCCACAGGAGCCAGTCAGTTTATACGAACTGAAAACGGTGACCTTTGGCATAAACTGTGCTCCTTACCTCGCTATAAGGACACTACATCAACATGCTGACGATGTAGAGAGCTCTCATCCAATCGCAGCAAACATATTGCGAAAATGCATGTACGTGGACGACGTACTCGCCGGTGGACATAGCATCGATTCCGCGATAAGAGCTCGAGATGAAATCTCACAAGTATTGCAGTCATCTGGTTTCCCATTGCGGAAATGGACTTCGAACTGCAGTCAAATTTTACAAGGAATACCCAAACCTCACTTGCTCAGCGAAGACTTTCTGGAGTTCGAAGATACCAGCACAGTAAAGGCTCTTGGTATCAGGTGGAATGCCCACTCAGATCATTTCTACTTCGCAGCAAAATCCATAGAAAGTCGAGACGTTTTTTACGAAAAGGGCAATACTTTCAGCGATCGCCAAACTATTCGACCCACTTGGTTGGCTGGCACCAGTCATAATCGTTGCAAAAATCATAATGCAGAACATTTGGTTAGAAGGAACAGATTGGGACGAAACTGTGTCCTCAAATATCATGGACCGTTGGCAGGCATTTGTGAATGATTATACGGAGATCAATAATATCCGCATACCAAGATGGGTCTATTTCTCACCGTCTGATGACGTTGAAATACATGGGTTTTGTGATGCATCGGAAAAAGCGTATGCGGCTACCGTTTTTTCTGAGAGTTAAGACTGAAGACAAAATCTTCGTCAATCTACTCTCAGCGAAAACAAGAGTAGCCCCAGTTAAAACAATATCTTTGCCCCGATTGGAATTATGTGGCGCAGTTCTGCTTGCAGAAACAATGGAAGCAGTCATCGATAACCTCAATTTCGGTCATTTAAAGGTTAATCTCTGGACGGATTCAACGATAGTGTTAGCGTGGATACGAAAACCTCCGTGCTCGTGGTCAACATTTGTTGCTCACAGAATAACAAAAATAGTAGAGAAGGCAGGAATCAAAAATTGGCGTCACGTGGACTCGGCGTCCAACCCGGCAGATCTGGCTAGCAGGGGACTGACGGCCAACGAGCTGGTCAACAACTTCTTGTGGTGGCAGGGTCCTTCTTGGTTACAAGAAGACAATTCAAAATGGCCAGCACAAGAATCGGACTACGGCACAACCACTGAAGAAAAAAAGGGTGCATGTTCATGCAACAGCAAAGGTAAACGACTGCAACGACATTCTTGATCGATTTTCTGATTTTTCAAGGGCTTTGAGAGTTATATCTTATATCGTGAGATTTTCTCAAAGAACACATCCAAAAACAAAATCTTCATTTAAAGCAGAGTCTTGCTTAATTTCGGCCGACGAAATTAAGGCAACGACGAAACGCTTGATAAAAGTTTGCCAAAAGCAATATTTCAACGAAGAATATATACGGCTAAAATCTAGAAAATCCATCGACGGGAAAAGTGAAGTCTTGCCTCTTAATCCGTTCATCGACAAAGACGACATTATGAGGGCGGGTGGTCGTCTTGGCGCATCTCGTGACTTGTCCTACAATGAACGCCATCCTATCATTCTTCCCTATAGTTGCAGGTTGTCCCGTCTCTTCGTCCAGTTTGTCCATCAAGTTTCCTTACACGGAGAAAACCAGCTGATGTTGCGCCTAATCCGAGCGCAGTATTGGATCCCGAAGGTGAAAAAACATGATACGGTCCGTCATACACAATTGTAAGATCTGTACGATCCACAAGAAAAGGTCGCAAACCCAACTTATGGGAATCCTTCCAGAGGAACGCACCACTTTTTCGCGAGCGTTCACAAATACTGGTGTGGATTTTGCCGGACCTTTCGACATCAAGACCTACCGGGGCAGAGGATGTCGCATCTCAAAAGGATACGTTTGTTTGTTTGTCTGCTTCACGACAAAGGCTATACACCTCGAAGCCACCAGTGACCTGAGTACCGCTTCCTTTCTAGCAGCTTTCGCGAGATTCATTGCTAGACGGGGATGTCCAAAAAAATGTCTACTCCGACAATGGAACTAACTTTGTCGGAGCTTCTCGATCTTTAAAAAACCGAATTTAAAGCTTTCTTAGCTGACACTCGCAATAGTACCCTATCGAAATACAACCATCAAGCTCTAAGCTGGCATTTCATACCCGCTGCAGCTCCGCACATGGGGGGGTTTGTGGGAGGCAGGGGTGAAGAGTTTTAAAACCCATTTTAAAAAAAGTCGCATCCGATCATAAATATACGTTCGAAGAGTTCAGCACTCTTTTATGCCGAATTGAGTCTTGCCTCAACTCGCGGCCATTAAGTCCCTCTTCAAACGAACCCTCAGACCTGGAGCCGCTCACTCCAGGCCACTTTCTGATTGGTGGACATCTTCTCGCCCCACCAGAACTCGATGTCAACGAAAATCGGGCCTCAATCGTCAATCGCTGGGAAAAATTGAAGGCCCTACATCAAACTTTCTGCAAAAGGTGGAAATGGGAATATCTCACCGAAATGCAGAAACGCATCAAGTGGAAACATCCACAATGCAATTTAAAACAAGGGGACCTAGTAGTCATTAAAGAAGAAAACCTTGCTCCCAACGAATGGAGACTAGGACGAATAGCTAAGCTGCACCCAGGCTCCGACAACCGGGTTCGAGTAGTCGACATCGATACGACAAAGGGCCAAATTACAAGACCAGTTGCAAATTGGTCCTACTTCCATCGTGCAGCGAAGCCAACGAAAGTGAAGCAATTTCCCAGTAAACTTCTGCTAACACTTCATTCCACGTCAAGAAAATCTAGCTATTCCACTGTTCAACATGATTCGAAAACAAAGACAAATGCATATGGAAAATATGTGTACACAGCCAATCTTAAAATTTCATCACGAATGAGAGGGAGTATTTGTCAAAGAAGTAAATATATTAACGGTGAAACCTCGATAATAAAACACGAGAAAAAAAGGGACATTACATGTTATTTAAAAGATTTTCAATCTCTAAATTTCTCAATTCTTCGGTGTTCCAACTAGTTCGTATTATCGAGATTCCACTGTATCAGATAAATGCAACACAAAGATATCTAATGCAATAGATCTGTTCAACTAAAAGTTACCCCATTACTTCTCTGTTACTTCATTTCTGGTTATTCGCGCAAAAGGACAAATATCAAAAAGTACGTGAACGCAACACCAATAACAATCTGGAATTTTTATGATCAGCTGATAAATTTTTGATTATTCGTAGCAAATTCCTAATAAAACAGTTTTCTTGTTTTAGGGAATTAACATGATTCTACTTTCACAGGCGATTGGTTGAATGCAACAGTTCCCTGGTGTAAATGACCTTTCAACTAATCACTGCCAATGAAGTGGGTCAGCTGCCAACTATCGTTCAACCTTTTGATTCAACTAAAAGTTGCCTGTGAAATCGCCTCATGTAAATTCCCCAATATTTTTTCAATTGTCCCTTGCAACATATGATTAGCTGTGCTTCGTATTAGCGAATTGTTGCAAGCTAAAATTTGTCCCGTAAAATATTTACAACTTCTTCTCCAAGTTTCCCTCTCAACTCCCAAACTTTGCAAGTCCTTTGGGTTACATGAACACCAACAAGTTTTTAATTTATTAGTACAATTTATGTATTTGCTACATAAACAGGCATATTGATTAATTTGATGGTTATACTCCACATTGGTTTTAGTTCGCCGATCTTAACCATAATACCCTATAAACAATTCTGGGTCCGAGACGCAATCATCCGCATAATTTCATGCGCAATGACCTCGCTGCCAGGCCCAAATGGCAAATGAAGTGGCCGAGACGAATCATCACTCGGCGTTTGTTAGCAATTTGAGCTCTAATTCTTGGGTAAAATGGAATGAGTTAGATATGAATGCTTGCGCTTAACCCCGCGTGTTTTTTGCATGTAATCCGGTCGATCAGTTGCCGACACCGGTATACATTAAGATGTCTCAGCAGAATCTTTGTTAATCTCCTTGCTACTAATAAGCGGTACGTCAAGTAGTCACATACAGATATAGATAGAAAACTCAGTACTTCCATCACTTACCAAAAAAAGACCGTGGCAAACACCATATTCCATGGCCCACATAGCTTCTTTAATGCGAGACGAGGATGTCACTACCTTCGAATACGTATTGATTTTTGTTGAATGTGTAAAATACATCGATAATGTACTTAAGAGCTGCAAGACAAAATCATTCAAATGAGCCAACTTTTTCATACAGGCGAAAAACTTCCACATTTCTTACAAAAAATCGGGTCTGGTTTACACGTCGAAAACCGTCACCAGTGAGGCTGGAAGCTCCAGAGTATGTCAAAAAAGGTGTACTTATAACGGAGGCTAATGTTCATCCAAAGGACCTCCACCCATCGTCATTTTAAATAACTTGTCCGTTGTACGCCAGTTTTTTTTTTCTTCGCAACCCTTTAATGGTTTTTATACTGTGCAGCTCTCAATAAGGGCTCGAAAAACAAAAATACACATGAAATGAAATAGCAGGCCAGTGGCCATTGTAACCCAATGGTTGCTTTAGCCAGTGGCGCATATGGCTCACTGGGTGCTCAATCCAGCGGCTGGTGTGGCTCCGTTGGGCGGCTTATGGGTATTTTATCCAATAGCAAAAATAAGTGCAGCCCAGACTGCTCATTATTTGACTCTCATAATGAGTCATTTCCGCATTTGCAGGAACCTGTATAGAAAGATGAAATTATTAATGAAATCCTCAATAATTACTATTCTACAACTCACCTCTTACTACGGCCTCGTGTTAGAATTTTCAGAATGACATTTTTTGCCATTCAGGAAATGGAAAAAAGTGTGGTGCGCAAAGGCATATCAAAATGTCAATTGAAAGTCTCCGCCTAAAGCCGCAACCACATACCTCGCGTGTGGAGATAAGTTTTTTCGCATGGAAACATGCATATTACAATGGGAACGTATTACACTCTATGCAAAAAAAAAAAAAAAATCAACTTGCTTTTCAATGGTTTTTGATTGCAACTTGCATTAAAGTCCCATTCCACATGCTACTTTTATTCGGAGTGAACTGGTTTCCGTTTTAAGCCAAGTCACTACCCAGCCAAGACAGCACTCATTTTTGGGGGCAGGCCAAGCTACCGAAAACATCGCTAACGTCAATTTACGATATTAGCATAGGTCATAGCCGATGCGAAATTGATCTCCGAAGTTAAAGCGATTTCGAATCAACTCATCGCAGTAAATTCCCATATGGACACCTTCCACAAATAATTTCAGCACGACATTTTCTCATGTACATACACATATACGCTATGCTCATATGCACTACATACATACGATTGAAATGGCATGGGAGAGCAGGGTTAGAACTCGAGCTAGCCTACACCGAAGTAAAGGGCGCGAAAAATCGTAACAAATTAAAAATATTGTTTAGAAATATAGTTGCTTAGATCATATAAATGAATGCATATACAATTGTTTAAAAAATTATCGTAATTCGTAGTGAGGTTCTAACCCTGCCGGGGAGATACAAAGGCAACAGTGCCATCTACCGGTTACCTGAATAAGCTGTAACGTTAATAACTCCACAATCAGACGAACTCTCCAAATACACGAATAATGCCACAACCACACGCAGCCAATATTATACAAATATAATAAAAATAAAACTTCCTCAAATAGCAAAACAGCTAGGGAACCACCACTTGCCACCCAACTATGGCTGTTCAAAATTGAACGTTTCCCATTCAAAGTGGCTCACATTGCAGAATGACCCGATTCACGGTATTACGCACAAAAACTGAGATGCACTCTGAAGAATTTGCGATCGCTTGCCGATTATGCAACAAGAATCATGGGGTGCGACTCTGCCCAATTTACCGCAGCAAGTCGGCAGAAGAAAGGCTACGAGAAGTGCTTATACACCGCTACTGCCCGAATTG